GAGCGTCCGTGCCTGCTCTTGGCTTTCCACTGGCCCCACTCCCTTGCCGGCCACCTCTGAGGGCAACTCACTCCCTCCCCCGAGACTCTTGAGCTTGTTCAGCAGTCTTCTAGACCGGAGACGCCAATGCATGCCCTGTCCTCCTGCTGAGAGAAGGTCGGGAACAGTTTGTCATCTTCCTGGCCAGGGCACTGGGATGGGATGGGGAGAGAGGGATCACGCTGAGGAAGAGGGCAGGTGCTGACAGCCAGGAAGAAAAAGCCATTCTCCCCAGCTCAGGGGCTGCCTGGGCTCTACCTCCTCGACCTCTGCTGGGAACGGGTTGCCCAGAAAGGTAGTGGAGGCCCCATCCCTGGAAACATTCCAGGCCAGCTTGGACGGGGCTCTGAGTAGCCTGATCCAGTTGAAGATGTCCCTGCTCACCACAGGGGGGTTGGGCTAGATGACCTCTAAAGGGCCCTTCCAACCCAAAGCACTGTGTGATTCCCAACCTCTGCCAGGATGGGCAGGAGGGTCGAGCCCTGCCCAGAGATGCTGCCTGCACAGGGGTGGGGGAAGCCCTGGCAGCGACGACCGTGTGCAGCACAGGCAGCTGGGGACAAGGATAGGGCTGGAGCCCACCTCGGGCTCTTTGCTCCAGAGCCTGGTGTGGAGGAAGGGGGAAGACCAGGACTCACCCTGGCAGGGAGCCCGTGTCCTCTCCTCCAGCCCACGGCACCCACCAGCACCAGGCCACCAGCCAGAGGGTGGCTCCTCCGGGCAGCTCACGTCCCCGCCGTGTCCTGCAGGGAAACCAGATGGACGTCACCTTCCCAGCGGGGGTAGCCCTTCTGCTCCACAGCCACGGGGCCGGAGAAAGATGCCCTGTGCACCACCAGTGGCCAGAAAACCATAACCCTGCTCACAGGTGAGTGAACGGGGGAGGATTCTCTGGGTCGAGGGAAACAAGCAGCAGATGATCAGCAACGTCTCTGTGGAACTGCAGCCTTTGTGTGGGGAGACAGGCGGCCTCCGTTCCCCTTTGAGACTGCTGCTGTGGCTGCAGGGCCAGAAGGAGACGGGCAAGACGCCGCAGAACAGGCAGTGAGGGGGGGGATTTGGACAGGAAGACAAGCAGGAACCCCAGAGATACACAGCTGGGCACAGCTACAGAGAAGAGGAGCTCGGTGGGGCCTTTGGAACTTTCCACCGTTCCCTGTTGAGGCGAGTGCTCCTGCGGTGGTTGGATTGTTCTTGCTCACCTGGAGAGGGGCTGTTGGGACCGTCCCACCTCACTGGGCTCCGCGGTGTGCAAACCCACGGCTCTTCCCCACGCTCCAGCCGGTATAAAATGTCAGGTTTGGGGCCTGGGTAACCTGGGGGGGTGGAGCAGAGGGCGTTGTTCTATTGCAAACGCGAGGAATGAACTGTTAACACGAGAAAACAAAGCTCTGCTCTAACGACACGCCGAGCTGCGCTCCACTGTGAGCAGAAGAGCCCAAGCGGCAGCACCACCGAAATATGGAAACGAAGCCAGAGAGACACCGGAGCTACTGTCAGTGATGAATTTATTCGCCAGGACAAGGGCAGAGCCCTGATGGGAGTACGGGAACCGCCTCCCAACTCTGCCGACAGGGATTCCCAGCGAGGGATTACCTGCTGCTCAGCCTAGGAGCAGCTCCTGGGTGTGGGACGTCCTCCCAGGTAACCAGAGATCTCTGTCCTGTCCCGGTGGCAGCGGGCAAGGACTCTGAAGGGACCTCGCTGGTCCTGGGAACTCCGCTGGCCTCTGTCGCGTCCGCTCCCCAACACCTTCCCTGGTCTGTGCTACTCCCG